CTGAACGTGCTAAGTTCTTAACGGAGGATATTAAAATGAAATGAATACTAAATATTATGTAAGATTTTGAAAAAAAAAAAAGTTTAGATATTAAAATGGACCAAAACTACTGGTTTAAGTACTAAACATGTAGTTTATCCTATTATAAATTTACGGGGGAGGCAGGCGGTCACAGCACAGTGAAGATTCCTTGGCAAAATGAAATTATTTAGGCAGTTTTCCATTTGTACTAAAAGTCCAAAAGTCTAACAAAACCCTTGTAATCATGGTTTTCAGAACCGGACCGGTTAGTGAACCGGTCATGCTACCGGTTCACTGGTTCAACCGGTTGAACCGGTCTGACCGGTTGGAAGAACCGGACGACGTCATAATTATTTAAAAAATTAAATAAAAATACCAAAAATATTTTTAAAAAAATAATTTTTTATATCACAATTCATATTCAAAGCAAGTCATAACATATATAAGTTAAAAACCATAAAATCAAGTGAAACAAAATGATTCAAATTAACTACAACATAATATTTAAGGTGAAATATATTAAATAATAAATATAATTATATAACTATAATTAAAAAATAAATTTGGGGCTAAAAAATCATAACAAAATAATATTGTTTGGTTTATTTTTTTAAAAAAACAATCTCACATGGCTAAGAAACGTAGAAGATCATCTCAACTAACTTCTATAATTAATAGAGGTAATTTGGCATTCAAAATCATGGAGCCTTTTGGTAAGCATTGAGTGAACTATTCTTTCACTTCAATCAAGCTCGAATTTTAGGCTTCAATTGAGCTTCTAATTTTTTTTGAGTTCAAGTTTCAATATTATATTTCGAGTTCGAGTTAAACTTCATAATTTTTAGCTCGTGAGTTTAAATCGAGTTGAGCTTACTTTTAAAATTTTCAAGTTCGAGTCGAGCTCAGCAATACTCGAGTATGACTTGGCTCGTTTAACAAACGACGTCGTTTGGTTTAATTTTTTTAAAAAAAAACAAATTGGCGGTTTTTTCCGATTTTTTCCCGATTTTTTCCAGTTTTCAACCGGTCCGGTTTGAACGGTTCAGTAGTTCTGGCCGGTTCACTAGTAGCGGTTTAACCGGTCTAGATTGAACTGGACTAGACAATGATTCCCGGTTGAACCGGCCGGTCCGATCCGATTTTCAAAACAATGCTTGTAATTCTCACTTTGGCAACACATTAAACCCACATGCAACACACCTATATTTTCCACTTTCTTTTTTATCACTAATTAATATATTTACATTTGTAGTACCAACCAAGTTAGTTAAGTGGCTAAAGGAAAGATAACTATTTCTAAAGGCTTCAAGCTTAAACACTAACGATTATAAGGTAAATGAACATTCATTATTGTTAGTGTTAACAGCAAGGCTCTTACTCTACCCTTGTTCGGTGGTAGTAGCCGTTTGGTGCTGTTTGTGTAATTCTGTGCTAGGGTTTGCAGTTCGTGTAAGCAGTTTTGTATTGTGTTTGGGTTTGGTCTTAAGAGGTCACAGTGTTGTTTTGGTGTTTTGAAGCTTTAGTTTGGTTGGTGTTGTTATTTTTGTCTGATTAAGAATACTTTTTTTCCTCCGTTTAGATTTTAGGGAAGTTTTAACGAGGCTCTTAATTTAGGTCGATTTTTAATAAATTTTTATTTTCTGAGTAAAAAAATGATTGAGAATCTTTAAAACATATATTATTACTTATGGATGACAAACGGGTACAATTTCGTGGATTATGCACCGTACCCGCTCTAATTGGGGCAGGGATGGGTAGAACTTTAGTGGGTAGTGGACGGGCGTAGATTTAGAGAGTGGTACCCGTCGCGGGTAATGGGCAGGTGATGGGTTTGAGACCTTACCCGCCCTGTATCCACCCGTCTCACATCCGCCCACTAAATACTCATTAAATTTTGGATCATTATAAATTTAGGTATAATTTTAGGGTTTGTCATTTATGTATGCCAAATAACAAAAATATTATGTGTTTGTCATTTATGTTTCTAGGCTTTAATTATGTCTTTTATTATGGTGTTTTATGTACTTTAAGATCTATGTTAACACTTAACTCAGATAATCCTTGGTTTATTTTATTATGTTTCTTAATGGACGTTTTTGTTTTATGTTTGTTGCTTATGTATAATTTAAGGTTGTTGTAAGGCGGGTCTAGCTGTGTATGTCTCCAGTTGGGTAGTGGTGTGGGGATGAATTTGAGAATGTGTCCGCGTGGGCAGGTGTGGATTTGAAAAATTTTATCTATCATAGGTAGTGGACGAGTGGTGGATTTGAAAATATTAGGTAGATACGGAGATTGTGGAGGAGGTATCCGCAACTGATCCGCCCGTTTACCATCCCTATTATTACTTGTAACCAACTCAAATTAATTAAATATATATATTAACATTTGTATGCGTGTGAATGCACATTTCAACCATTATTTTATAAGATGAACTATGTGACATTTTAATAAAAAGTATACTTGAATTTTAAAATAGTATTGTTAAAAAGATAATTTAATTTTTAAAAATAAGTTGTAAAATAGATATAATATACAGCGGGGTGTATTTTCATTGCCATCATTGCAATACGACTTCTGTTCTGTTCACATTTCAAAAGTCTAATTATTTATAGACGATATTGTAGGATGGAGTATTTATGAACAAATGCACTTAATATAGTCAAAAATATTTTACTATTAATTTAATTTATCTACCATATCATCCGTTATATTATTAATCATAGTAAACTATCACGTCAGTATAATGAATTATTACACTAATACTGTAATGGTCAACGATCTAAAAACGTTGATTAAAGATTCAAATTAAATTTATTTTCTAAGTTAAAAATTTATATTTAAAGAAAAAAATAATATGAATACTACAATTTTTTTAAAGTACAAAAACCTTGTGTATTTTTGTCTTGCTATTAAAAATGGTTGTCCCTTGTTCCCATATATAATGAGGTAAGGGGGAGGTAAGATAGTAGGCTGCCCCCAACACCAGATTGAGAGCAGCTTCCGTAGAAGACCTCCGAATTATGAAATGCCCCCCGTGATACTCGATCTCACAATCTCAAGATTAAGAACCTTATGCTCTACCAACTGAGTTGGATAGTCATATCTATTGCTATTATTATGAAAAAGGTAAACGAAGATAGCGACCCAGTTTTCCATGCATTCCTTCACATGCACTTTACAATATAGCCAAAACCCTAGTTTTCCTCTTTCAACCCTTTCACCTCCCCCTTTTCTTGCTTGCTTCTTTTACCATTTTAACCTCTTTTCAAGGTTTTCATCTATTCAGATATAAATTTTCAAAAAAAAAAACTAAAATTTGTTGTTAGTTGATTTGATTTCAATTATAAATTAATCTTATCTCAATCTGAATTTTTTTAATATTTAATATCTGATTTCAACCTAGCCTTATAATAATAATAGATAATGGGTAATGTTTAGTCTAGTTTTAGGATAAATTATGCGTTATAGTATTTAACCTATTAGTTGTAGTCCGTTTTAATATCTAAATTCAATTTTTTCAAAATTATATCAAAAATTTAGTTTTTGTTTTCTTTTATGCCATCTTTCAAAATTTAACGTTAATTTTTTAGAAAAAAATGAAAGTTTAGGAATTAAAATGGATTAAAACTTATAGTTTAGGTACTAAATGCACTAAGTTTTTAACGGTGGGTGTACTAAAATAAAACAAAAACTAAATGTTATGTATAATTTTGAAAAAATTAAAAGTTTAGGTACTAAAGCGGACCAAAACTGATAATTTAGGTACTATATGCATAGTTTATTCTTTTTATTGGGATCTAATGGGTGACATTATTACTATTCAAAAAAAAGGAGGGAAATGTGTAACACTGGCATTCCCTTTGTCGACAAGTTAATTATATCTCAATGTTGATTCAGAATAATATTAATGGACTAAAGTCTAAATCCACCAAAAAGTAAGCTTTTCACCTTCTGTCAAGTATGAAAAAGCATGTGATAAAGTATGAACAGTAGTATACAAAATCCTTAATCAAAGGAAGGCTATCATGCTAGAATTGAATTTGTATTTGATGGGAACTAAGAGTAAGAACATATAGAGAACACCCTAATTGGAAAAAATATTAGATAGTATCGGCTTATCACGTCATCCGTGGTCCCAACCAAGTAATATTTGTTCATATCATTTTTTTACCAAGGTGAATCTTCATCTCTTTCCTACATATAAATAAGAAAGAGGTAGTTATTTGGAAGTTATATAAAAATTTGTGACTCTTATTCTCTGGGAACACTGATGATGTGGTGAGCCGGATCAATCAAATAATTTCTCACTCTTATTGGGTATAAGGAAAGCAACATGCTTAAATCGAGGACATTACGTTCGAATTCGTAATTTTTAAGAATTTGAAATAATGATAATGTCAACTGAATTAATATTAAGAATAATTGTATGTACAAATCAAAATAAACACAAGTTAAAGGATATAATATTGGTATAATATCAAAAAAATACTCTTGATATTTGATTAAATAGTCATTTTAGTCCATATTTTTCAAAACTTTTTGATCATCAATGTTTCATTTTAGGGCAAAACCTCTTCAAACATTTGACTAAATAGTTATTTTAGTCTTTATTCTTTTTCTAAGCATTTTGGCACACAATGTTTCATTTTAAGACAAAAAGCTCCTACTTTAGGATGTTGATTGTTTATTGTCAAACGTTTTTCATCACGAATGGGTGTTTTTGTCCTGTAATGAAACATTATAAGCAAAAATGTTCGAAAAAGATAAGAATTAAAGTGACTATTAGTAAAAACATTTTTTTTTAATTATCTATAGAATATTTTGATAAAGCTTTGAGAGGTAAAGAAGTAATTTCAACACTAGGAGGTGCAAGCACCGAAAGGGTGATTTGGTAACTTTGTGAAGTGACATTCCATCAGTGTCTTATATATATGTAAATTACTAAATTTCACCCTCTCTCATGTGTTGTGGACTGTATATTCATGTGCTTTGGTTTTCTTGTCCTATATTTTAAACCTAGTTATCTTCGTCAATGGAAGATCAAGCACCAGACCCTAATAGTCCGAGCCATGGTTCAGAGAGAAAGGAACCAGTCCGGTCGAGGTGGACACCGAAGCCGGAACAAATCCTCATACTCGAGTCCATCTTCAACAGTGGCATGGTGAACCCTCCAAAGGACGAAACCGTGAGAATAAGAAAGCTGCTCGAGAAATACGGTGCTGTTGGTGATGCTAATGTCTTCTACTGGTTCCAAAACCGACGTTCGAGGTCTCGTCGCCGCCAACGACATATGCAAGCCACCGGAGCTAACATAGCCGGAGAACAAAGAAGTAACCAATCACAACTATTCGATGTCGGTGTCGGTGGCGGTGCAATTCAGTATGAACATAGTGATGTCTCCAACTTTGCTTCTTTCCCACCTTCTTTCCTCGTTGGTTCAACTTCTTCCTATGGTGTTGTGAGTGATGATGGCATGGAAAATCTTCTCTCAAGGTCACCTCCAACAGGGTTTCAAGAGCAAAGCTCTAGTAATATTACATCAGTTTTGTGCCCGTCGGAGACTTCGAATTTGCAGTATCAATCTGGTAATTGCATGGCAATTTATAAAGTTTTTTTACTTTAAAATTCATCTGTTCGACATATAATATATATAGGGACAGACGTTAGATTTTATATTATAATACAGTGAAATTATAAAATTCTAGAAGTATATGCAACATTTACTGCAACAGTAACTTTCTTATGATGTAACAATGGTATTTAGTGGTGTGAAAATAGGGTTGCACTATACCCCAATGTTAATTGAGGGGAAACTGATGATTGAAGTAAACCCTAAACTTCACCCTTGTTTAGTTTCAGGGCTCATCACAGTGTTCATCAATGGAGTTTCAACTGAAGTTCCGAAGGGTCCACTGAACGTCAAGGCCATGTTTGGACAAGATGTAGTGTTGGTCCACTCCTCTGGTGTGCCTCTCTCCACGAACGAGTTTGGGTTTTTGCTTGACAGCTTGGTTCCTGGTGAAACCTATTTCCTTGTAAGTTGTTTTAGTAAAAAAAAACAGTAAGATACTAATTTTTATTATAATAAAAAATAAAGAATCAATTGACGTTGAACGACCTAATTGGCGCGACATGATAACATTATACGAAGAGAATTGTGGTTCATTAGTGTCACATTGCACCAAATGTCATTCAACGTCGATCCTTCAAGATTCTTCAATTTTATAATTCAGTTCCCATCATCGTCAAGTTTTCAATCAATTTTTTGTGTGGTATCTAAAGTCCGGAGATAAGTCAAAATTAAATTCTTTACGTCAAGGGACGGAGCTCCTTAGGGTCCAAGGGGTCCTGTTAAAATTTATATATTTAATATAATTTTATTTTAATAGTATTTTGATTTATGTAAAAATAAATATTTTAATTTAAAAAATATAAAAATTTATTAAATATTTAATCAAATAGGGGTCAAACTAAGAATCATAAGTCTGTGTTCTCAAATTTTCTGTCTAATTACAATTTAAGTTATCGTATGTTTAAATATTAGACAATTAGAGTTTTGAGTTTTTTTTTTAATTTAGTGTGAATACAAGGTAATATTTATACAAAGACTTTCAATTATTTAACAATGAACGATAATACCCCTACATACGTGCTTGAACTCGGGACCTCAAGGATAACAACAATCTCTTAATCACTAAGATCACTTGGTTCATTCTGAATTTCAATTTTAAATACCTAATAAGTCTTTATATTTTTCTTAAATAATCTAATATTTCGGTCTCTGTCAATATTTAATTCTGGTTCCGTCCCTGTTTACGTACTACATAATTTTTGAACCATGTTCTCTTCCTATGAGATACATCTCCAGACTTAATACAATATTTGATCATCATACGATAGTATAGTTCTGAGAATACAATATTTGAGAATACAATATTTGATCATCATACAATCAAAAGTTCCTTCAACACCTATATATCAACTAGGTCAAGACTTAATACTAGTATAGGTACTAGTTTATCATTCATTAATAAGCAATTACATCATATATTTTCAATATTTTTATATGGAAACAATGTTTGATTACAGGTTTCAAGAACAAATTGAAGAGGAATTGAAGCAGCAAAATAGTGGGGGATGATGCATGCTATAGTATTTTATGGTGATAGTATGGCTTGTTATGCATTCAAATTCGGAGCTAAGTCCTTGGCGTTGGTGGATTTTCATCGCTGAATAGAGAGTTTGATTATTTGCAATTGAAAAGGAGTTGGGCGTTGGCCGCAGTCCTAATGTTGCTTTACTGTTGTGCAATTATGACTTTTGGATATTGAGATCCCAAGTATTTCATAAGAAAATAATTGTCGTACTTATACAAGTCTGATTAAGTTTAAAAATTGTCTTTGAAAGCTCAAAAGCAACAAAATTTTGCCTTGAATTTTTCAAGTTCACATTGTTTATATACGAGCTTTAAAGTGTCTAAATATAATCTTCTAAACATACACTCATTAAGTGATTGAAGATACACACATATGTTGTCATCGTCCTTTAGTTGACTTGTGCCGTGTAAATACATGTATTTGTCATGTATCATGCATATTATTTATTTTTAATAAAATTTGTAAACTTTATATGTTTCTATCCATTACTTATACGAAATTGAACTTATAAAATTTTAGGAGGTAAAAATATATTTTCAATAGAAAACAAATAAAAATATCTAAAACATAAATTTTAAAGGGCGACTACTCCCACTCGTCTACCCCTCGATCCATTCCTGGTGGAAAGGAAATAGTATTGAACATATAGTATGTATAGGGACACGCAAAGAGGAACGAACTTATAAAATTTTAAAAAATGATAAAAATAATTACCAACAAAAAGTTTTAAAAAATCTAAATTATATGAAAATTTAAAATTTTCAAGACAAACAATACTACAAAACAACTTGGGCTTCAACACCGACCAATATAACCAATCTGAAGCAGACGAATGTTTGATTCTGTGTTTCTCGAAAGCATAGGGGCACGTTCACTTAGAAAATGCCCCCATGTGAAAATTTCCCCACTTTACAACTCTTCATTGGCTGTCATGTGAATTATCAAGATCTTGCCTTTGTTGTTTTTTCTTTATTTTGATGACAAGGAAACATATAGTCTACTTACTTTGGGGAATCCGATGAGGTGTCCGTAAATGTATGTGAAAAATTACGTGGATTCAACTTTGTTTCATCATTAATCTTGTTTATTATTATATATTTTTTCAAGACGTTTTGCTTCAAATCCTTTTCTGTATTTCATTCTTTTTAAAACCATGATTTTGTTTGGTCCAAGTGTAAGCTTTTTGTTAGCAAATTACCACTTTGTCATAAGATATGGTTATATTTTAATTGTATTTCTTATTTGGATCATTTTCACGAAAGATGCTTAAAATTGACAAAAAGTCATTTAAAATTTCAATGTTTTAATGCTCTGACCTCCTCCGATGAACGTATGATGAAGTTCATTTTAAGATGTGTTGTTTATCTTCTCGAAAGAATATTTATTCCTATTCAAAACTTCAAGCAAACAGTCCAATTTTTAAATCTAAGAAAGCCCTCCTACCCCAAAATGATGGGTCTTTATGTTTAATTTCATGAGTTTAAAAGAAGTTTTAAGAAAATATAAATTGGTAAAGGGTAAAGGACAATGAGACGAGTTCATCAGTGTCTATGTTGGTCACAAAAGATATCAATCTTTAAATTGAACTTGAGATTAAACTGCCTAATATTTTAATTGAACTTGAGATTAAAGTATAATCTTTAATTAAAGTATTTTAAAATTTAATGATATAACCAATATAAAATAAGGTTAAGTGATATTTGATGTATGTTACCCTACATTTTAATACAATAAAATTCTAGAACTTACTTGATATGGTAATAATAAAACCATCCAAAAACAAGTGATTAGGAAACCAAACACCCTAATTTTAAATATGTGTACACAAACAACAAGACAAAAAAGAAATGGGTGTCATCTGATTTTGGCATTCATTGGTTGTAGCATACAAGGACATAATTATACTTTTATTCTCCCATCAACTATAATAATCAAGTGATGCACATGGTAGATCTCTTAGTGAGTAGTGAAATCTAAAAACAATGCATTGAAACTTCACATTCTCCTCCATAATGTAGTGTTCGTGCACTTTCCATAATTCGATGTCATTTTCTATGATTGTTTTCCTCGATTAAAGAGTTTTTGTGTTCTATGATCATAATCATAAATTGTGTTCCCCAAGTGTAGCTGTATGCTTCACATTTTTCATTAGGTAATTAACACTCCAATTCATATGCATCATCCTTTGTTTCCATAAATTCATATGCACGACGTTAGGGAATGCATTTTCTAGCTAGCCTCATCATTTTCGACCTGATTTTTTTTTATTATCCCATGGAAGACCATAATCGAAGAGAATTGTGTATTTATGAACAAAATATGTTGTCGAATTTAAGAAAAAGATGTGGGACTCGGACAAAATATGTTGTTTTCCCTGAAAATCTTGAGTCTGAATAATTATTCATGTAGGGTGTATGTTGACAATGATTAACAAAAATTATTGGGCCCAAATTCACTTGGAAACAAGGTACCCTCTATGAGCGTTTGAATAGATGTCTCTACAATTCTAGTTGGTATAATGCTCTCTCTGATATTTATCATCTCCAAAGGATTGGCTCAGACCATCGTCCGATTCTACTAGATACGGGGAACCGGTGGCGGAATAAGCAACCGATACCCTTCCGGTTTATTGAAGCTTGGAATGACCATTCGGATTTTCCCAACTTACTCCAGAATTCCTGGGCGGATGATAGGGATCTTCATGGAAACATTTGCGATTTTCAGAATAAAAGCAGGAAATGGAATATGGATGTCTTTGGTCACATCGGGAGGCGTAAGTCTTTACTCCTCGCTCGCAATAGAGGCATTGAACTTGCTCTCGAGAAGTCGACCAATGATTACCTTGAGGATCTCGAGATTGATTTGAAAAAGGAATTGAATATGGTTTTTCTGCAGGAAGAGAGTCTTTGGCACCAGAAGTCTCAGAGTAAGTGGATTGTGAAAGGGGAGATGAATACAAAATTTTTGTTGGGATCGTCGGCACACCCCATGGCGCAACGAAAATAAAATGCGACGGTCTCACCAGCGATCCATGTACGTTAAATCGGGAGAAAGGAATGTGATTACTTACATTGGGTTCCTTGAAAATCAACAAAGACAACAGCGGCTAATGTTGATCATGAACGGTTTGAATCATAGCCTCCACGAAAAATTGTCTCGGCCTCTACTCAGTTCACCCGACTGAAAAGCAGTTGAGAGCAAAACATTTATCTAAAACTGTTCTAGGAGTTTCTGAATTTTTGAAAGGGATAAACGGCTGCTAGACCAACATATCTCTTATATATATATGTGTCGCTGTAGCTATTAGGGTTTTTAAATTCGAATTTAATTAAGAGTATAATTACATTATTTTAATTAAAATTTGTATTCATGCGTAATAAAAATCACACACGCGCGCGCGCGCACACACACACATATATATATATATATATTAAAATTAAATACACATTTTATTCATGTACAATCAAATTGTATATATGCTACACATTTATAAGTTGCTCTATTTTTTTCAACCATCGGGTGTGACCCTGTAGATTCCTATTACGTTAGTTGTAATAATTTGAACTATTCTAATATTACAAACAATGAGTGACATCTAGCAATATATCATTGTTACCTAAGTTACAGGAAGTCATGATTTGACATAACATGTTCATGACTAATTATTTTAATGTATTATATTATTTTGTCCTTTATATCTAGAATAGACACAAGTCTTGAAATAGTCACACTTGTGTAGCCCATCTATTATTTCTTGATATTTAGAGTAGACTATAATAAATGAATAATTTGTGATATCTCATATCAACTTATTCGAGCATGGTCATGCATTTCTAGTCTCACTCAATCAAGTGGCCTATGATATATTTCATATTATGTAGGATGACAAATTCTATCTCGATCATTCATACCCCACTACATATATCGTGATATGTTCAATGTTAGTCTTTACAGTGCAACCAGTTACGGAGCATGTTTAACTGTATCAAAACATACAACAATATATGTTGATATTGTAATGATCTCTACTTTAAGGATTATACATATAATTGTCACTATGAGTAATATAGTGACTATCACATAATAATCTAAGACATATGCTCATAGCAGGTCAATCCAATATATTGTTCTCTAACAATATATTCATGTATTAATTTTGACATCTCAATGCCAATGACAACTCATTGTCATCAATCAATAAAATGTTAGTCTTAAGCGGATTATTACTATCTCTCCCCATAATAATACTTGACTAATGATCTTTTAATAATAATCACATTAATATACATTCATTATTATCTTTTAATTACTGGAGAAAATAACATTATTTTTTATTATTAGAATGACTTGATGAGTTCTTATAAATTCACTTACAAGTACAAGTTAATTATACCAAATGTCCTAAAATCACGAGTTAAACTAGATTCTTTCGTTAGGCTAACTTTTAATTTGGGTGTCGAATGGAATTCATTAAGTGATCTCAGTGATTAAATGAAGTGTTGTTCTTCCTAGAGATCATGGTTTTAAGTAGTTGGGTATACAGAGTGTATACGCATTGTTAATATTAATAAATATTCTGAACATGTATTATCGTGTAATCACCTTAAACTATTCAAAAACAAACCTTTAGTGTCGAATGTTAATTGGACCTGACATAATTTATTTTTGCGCAACTGCTAAAACCCAATATTTTTGCCCATTGGATCCAATTTTACCCCTCTTCCTCTTTAAGCTGGACTTTTTTTACTTCTAACCAAAAAAATATAATAATAAAAAACTCCATAGTTGGTCTTTTAAGATGCTTCTACCCCAAGGAAATCGATGAAGCACATGTTGATCTTCAAATCTCCATCTGCAGTTTGGGAGTGGTTGGTCCCATTTGTGCCCACTAACTCGGTTGCTGAACCTTCTGAGTTAGAATCTGACGAGTTAGCATGTTGGTCCACTTCAATAGGTGAAACTGCAAATAAAAACTAATGCATGATTTTATGTTAAAATATCAAATTTTACGATTTTCAGAGTGAATGATTGTCCCGTTAATCTCATCGGTCCATTTCTACCTGCAAACATACCCATATGGTGAAGTGGAGTGCAAGTAGAGGCTGATGAAATGGTTGATTGGTCACTTGTGGCTAAAGAAGAAGGCTTCCTCCTCCTATAAATGCTTGATTGCTCCCTGTGTTTCCTAGCCATGATCACATGCCAATGGTTCTTGACCGCATTATCCGTTCTACCAGGGAACAGCCTAGCAATCATAGCCCATCTGTTGCCATACACCTTATGTGCAGTTAACAGCCTCTCTTCTTCTTCCTCACTGAATGCTCTCCTGTTGATCCTTGGATCCAGCTGGTTAAACCATCTCAATCTACAACTTTTGCCTGCAAAAAAGGACACCTTTAGCCAAAAAGATCAAACATTTGCAAAACTGGTGATTATGATTACCAAGACGGGAACTTTAACCTGATCTCCCTTCAAGATGCTCAGCTATCAAGTTCCAGTTTTGAGGACCATATTGAGCCACAAGATCTTTTAGCTTGGCATCTTCAGCCGGCCTCCAATGGCCCCTACAACAAAGCTTGGTGTGCCCTTTTTTGGTACCGCCGCCTCCGCCGCCGCCGGAGGTTTTATTTTTACTCCCATTTTCAACATTTAAACTCATAGAAAGTCCACCTGCATCAAGAGTTTGAGTCCCCATGCTTTGTAATGGCTCAAAGCTCAAACATTTATTGGTTTGTTGTATTGATGAGGTTGGAATCCGAAACCCCATTGGAGAGTTATTAGCAGGAAGAGAAAATAAGTTCATCTCTTGTGGACTCATTGTTCTAAAAAAAACCCAGGAAAGAAAACCCAGATGATCAAAGAAATAAGAAGCAAAGCTATCTCTTTCAAGTCATTGGAAGATGAGTGTGTTTGGGAAGAGAGAAAATGAAAAAAAAGGGTTGAATTTGGGAAAATCAAAGGGATAGAACAGAGGATGTAGAAGAAAAGCTTGAATCGTTTTTCTCCGCCTTTTGTTCGCAAAATTTGTTAGTTTTTTTGGGTTTAAAAAGGCAGTGGAGAATGAGGTCAGGGGCAAGGGGGGGGGGGAAGGGGACATATTTATTTATTTATTTATTTATTTCATAAATGGGAAAATAAAATAAATTAATAAATAAAGCCTGGGGCTTTGCATGCAACTGGAGAACCGCTCGTGTGGGTGTTGGGAGCGCGTGTGTCTGTTTATGTTTTGGTTTTGGTGTTAGGTTTTGTTTTGTTAATTGATTAAGATTAATTAAATATGATATTAAATATTAAAGTATATAAATGATCTCTTGATTAAGACGCTATTTTGTTGAGTCCAAATCTATTAAAATAGTTATAAAATGATCATCTAATTATAGAGTATTATTTTGTTGAGTCTCTTGACTATTAAAAGTTATAAAATAGTTATCTAACTATTCAAATATTCCAAACTTATATATTTTCCGTTAAAAATTTTATGGCAGTATGAGCTGGATATTAACTTACTGACCGAGATATGATAAAATATGATCCTAAAACCTCAAACGATTATCATATCTTAGTTAGCATGTTAGTGTCCAGCTTAGACGACCATCAATTTTTAATGAAAAATGACGAGTTTGAAACATATGAATTGTCGGTGACTAATTTACAACATTTAATAGTCAATAGACTCCCTAAAACAATAACATATAGTCAAATGATCATTTTGTAACTTCTAACAGTTGGGAGACTCAATAAAATAGTATTGTATAGTCAAAAACTATTCATGTACTTTACCCTAATGTCATTACATGTTTGTCTAATTATTCAGTTACGATTTATCCTTGTTGATTTGGAAGAGGACTCATAGCTAGTGAAATAATAGTTAGTCACAATGTTTCACTGTGAAAGAGTGATTAGTAGGTCAAAGCTTGAGGAAATGACGATACACCAAACGAGACATGAGGGGAGAGCTTCCCAACACAACACAGACAGATTTTGTCCATTTCACCTATGGGTCCTCCTAATATATAATTAAAGAAATATGATTTCAAAATGTTAATATATTTTTTAATATTTTTGATAAAATATTATTTTTTATCAAAAATATTAATTTCGTTATCTAATTTTTGGTAGAAAAAAATAATATTTTAAGTATCGTCTAATATTAATATTCTCGGTAAGAAAATAATATTTGATGTAGCACTTTACCGGAAATACTAAAAAAATATTAACATTTCCGATAGCGTCTTTTCTTAACCATATATTAGGTTGTTTTTCCTCAGATACTTTCTTCCGTCCTCCGGGTTAGTTCCCTTGTAAATTTAACTTATTATTTAAAAAAGAGTTAATTGCATCATACAACCCCAATCTATGATCCTCATTTCAAATTGGTCTCTATTTTAAGAATTTTAATTTCATCCTTAAACTTTAACTATCATTCTAAATGAGTCCTCAAACTTTTGAGCATTTCATTTTCACCCCAAACTATGATTTTTATTCTAAATTGGTCCCTAAAATTTTTGAATATTTCAATCTTATCCTAAATTATACGAATATACTAATCACATCTCTTGTTAATAAAACCATTAGACCAAGTTATATTATTATATGTTTGAAAAAAATAAAGTTTAGGTTAAACTATGGTTTAAATGGATTACATATTTGGATGAATTTGGGGATGAAATTGGAATATCTAAAACTTTAGGGGCCAATTTAGAATCACATTCATGGTTTGGAGATAAAATTAGAATGTTCAAAAGTTTAAGGACTAATTTAAAATGCGAGTCATAGCTTGAGGGTGAAATTGGAATGTTTAATAGTTTAAAGATTAATTTGAAACGAGGGTCGTAGTTTGGAGACATGTGATACAATTAACGGTTAAAAAAGTACAAATAAAGTTTTATATTTACTTGTTAACAAAGATGGCATACTATGCGGTTTATTGAATCTATACTTATACAACAATGTTTCAAATATATTACTAAAAAATATCACTAATACGATTAAATTATAATTTAATCGTTAAAGAACCATCATCAACCATCATCTTAGAAGTAAATTCGTTTCGATCGATATAATTACTGAAATGAAAGTCGTTCTCCAATATTAATCAGTTCTTTTCTATTCATACACACGAATAATGAAATAAAAAAAATAGTTGGTATGAACTCATCTTGTGACCTCAGTGGTAAAATGAAGTGTTATTATCTCTATAGGTCACAAATTCAAGTAGTTGTGTCTATAGGGTACGTGTACATTATCGATAACTACAAAAGATTATGAACATATACTACTCTTATAATCCCCAGACAAAAATAGTCGGAATTACCCTTCGATATTTAATCCCACTATTCAAAGAGGGAAAGAAACAAATATACATTTAAACTTCCTTCAAAGCTTTTTTCTCATCAACATGAGATTATTTGTATTGCTAACATATATATTAGGGTAAAGTACCTATTTGACCACTCACTTATTATTTACTTTTTATTTTAATCACTTAACTATTATATATTATCAATGTATAAATATAGATCCATAGATAAAGCTCGAGATTGAAATGCATGACTGTAAATCTAAAATCCATTTTAGGGAGAAAACTATTCACACATATCATGCATGCATGAGAAACCTGTTTGACTGTGGAATCATTCATTTCATTGGAGGGCTTTAGGGTAGTCACCAAACCTAAAAATACTACTAATACCAAATACAATATTTTAACATTTTCGAACCTATTAAGTGATTTTAACGATAAAAGAAAATATTATATATTTTTTTAAATGTCCTGAGTTTAAACAACTATATATATATGTATATAGTGTTATAGTATTGTTCTAAGGAATGATGAGTAGTGTAATGTAAACAAAATCAGAGAAAGAAATGAGAAAAATAGTAGAAAGGCTAAACTTCATTCATATCATCGTGTTTCTTTCTCAATAATCGAGAGCTATATTTATACAATTGATTAAAGCAAACCAAGAAGCTTAACAGCTTATAACCACCTCAACTGACACTTAACTGCCTAACTACACAAGAGCCATCAGTTGAAATCGTCCTAGCTCCAGCTCATACACCAACATTCCCCCTACTTTACTACTAGCTTCCTCGATCCCTTTAACGAACGCAAGACACGCAAGACCATGAAACAACATTCCCCTTACAACAACTCTCTCATTACTTAACATCATTCAACACAACTTCTTGCTGAAAACAAAAAATTCGCTCAAGAAATTTAGTCACCACATTCCTCAATTGTTGAAAACAACAGATTTGCCTCGGATCTGTGAGACAAGTAACCGTTGCCTGTGTTTAAGAAACGCTGGAGCGGACAATGGTTTAGTTAGGACATCAGTAACTTGTTCAAAATCAGGCACCTCCTAAACTGATAGCTTGCCAGCAACAACCATTTCCCTAACAAAGAACAAATCAAGTTCAACATGTTTGAACTTGGAATGCATAATCGGATTTGCACAAACAGCTCCAGCACTGGAGTTGTCACACCACAAGACAGGTTTCCCATGAATGGGCACTCGCAGCTAGCCCAGCAATTATTCAAGCCATACCATTTCCGCAGCACCACAAGCAACACTCCGATACTCAGCTTCCGCCGTAGAACGAACAACTACCTGCTATTTACGAGAACTCCAAGAAACCAGATTATCACCAAAGTAGATACAGTATCCCGAGATCGAGTGTCTATCTTCATCTGACCCCCAATTCGCATCAGCAAAGCCAACTAAAGGCAACTGCGACGAGGCTGAAAAACGAAGGCCAAAATCAGCAGTAGCCTGCAGATATCTCAATATCCGTTTTACTGCTTGAAGGTGAACATCACAAGGTGCTTGCATGAATTGACAGACCTTATTCACAGCAAAGGCAATGTCTGTTCGCGTGATAATGATGTACTGCAGAGCACCGACAATACTCCTATAATGAGTTGCATCCTCAATTAGTGTTCTAGTGTCAACCGATAGCTTGCAATTAGTAAACATGGGTGTAGGAAGGCTTTTAGCATCTTCAAGCCCACTTTTAAGCAACAAATCACGAATATATTTTTTCCGACTCAAGATAATCACATCAGTTTCTCGACACACTTCGATTTCCAAAAAAAAACTCAAGGCCCCAAGGTCTTTTAGTGCAAACTGTTTGTTAAGAACATCGATCATACCTTGCACTTCTGTTTCACAGCTGCCTGTGATGATGATATCATCTACATATACCAGTAGATACATGATGTTGTTAGTAGTCTCCCTAACAAACAGTGAAGCATCAGACTTTGCTAACACAAACCTCTAAGCCACTAAAAACTCTTTTAACCTTTCAAACCATGCTCGGGGAGCCTGTTTTAGCCCATAAATGGCTTTGTTAAGCTTGCAAACCAAACTTCCATCACCTTCTTCATAGCCTGGTGGTTATGCCATATATACGTCCTCAATTAGAACTCCATTGAGAAAGGCGTTATTTATATCGACTTGCTTTAACTGCCAACCCTTAGCTAGTGCAAGCGAGAACACGACTCGAACTGTTGTTGGCTTAACCACAAGGCTGAAGACTTCATGATAATCGACACCTTGCTATTGCAGAAATCCCTTGGCTACAAGTCGGGCCTTGTAACTTGCTATGGATCCATCCACATTTGTTTGATTTTGAAAATCCATTTACAGTTCACTGCTTTCCTTCCACTCGGGAAAGGAACAAGCGTCCAGGTGTTGTTTTTCATGAGTGCATCAAACTCCGTTTGAGCAGTAACTCTCCACTCAAGACTCTTCATGGCTTCTCGAATGGTCCTAGGTTCTTTATCTGAGCAAGCCACCTGAAATAATCTTTGCTTCCAAATCCCATTTT